CACCTACTGGAGCTGTGAGAAGAGGGCCACCATCCTCCTGACCCCAGAATGGTAGATCTACCATGAGCTTGCACCATGCACGTTATCTATTCCCTGTGTTGTCTAATTCTGGAATTCCCGTAGCATAGAATCACAATTGGCAAGCTGCGCTCCTTTGTGGAACTTCATCATCAACTAGAGGAATTTCACATCAACTAGACAGTGCTGACATGCAGTTTCTTTAATTTTTAGTATTATTCACTTTATTACTTCTAAAGCTATTTAGCAGCTTTTTTGACCTGCTTTATTAAGTGAAATGGTTTTATGCATTTATACAGACATCAGATATTTTCTGTATAGTCTGCATTCCATGTTGGGATCCTTAATCTCTTATTTACTTTTAATTTTTTATAAAGTAAGATCTAGACTTCCTGCTGTACATTGTGTGGAATTTGACAAATTTATGACATCACATATCTACCACTGCAGTATTACATGTGATAATTTTGTCATCCTTTAAAGTCTTCTATTTTTTACACATTCTCGCCTTCTACCCAAATTCCTAGCAAATACAAATTTCTTTTACTTTGTTAATGTTTGGCCTTCTCCAGATTATCAGATAAATTAAATTATATATTGTGTAACTTTATCAGACTGGTTTATTTTACCTAAAAATATGCATTTAAGTTTCATTCATGTGCTTTCGTGATTTGATAGCTGTTCTTTATAATGGCAAAATTATTCCATTATGTGAATGTACCAGATTGTTTATTCACCTACAGACGAACTTTTTGAAGGTTTATAGTTTTGGGAAAATATAAATGAAGCTATTGTAATTACTCATGTGTGCTTTTCTTTGTGGACATACTTTTAAAGTCAGTTAGATAAACACTTAAAAGCATGATTGCTGGATTGCATAGTCAAAGTGTGTTAGAATTTGACTAAAATTGCCTCCTAGTAGTTCTGTGAAGTGGGGGGCACTCAGCTGACTCTGTCTCCTTGTGGGAGGAATCCCAGTGCTCAGGGTGGGGCCTCCTGGGTCGATAGAGGCCCAGTTCCCTCTCAAGCCTTAGGGACAGCAGCACTTCTGCTCTGGATGCACACTAGGAAGCAGATGCCCCAGATGTGCACTGCCCAGGACCACAGAGATGCTCAGGACTCAGGTAGGAAGGGGCTCACTGAGGAGTAGATGTGGACTAGACAAGGAGGGGAGCTTCTGAAAATCCTGGGTCCTCCTTAGGAACCATATCAAACCATCGGGAGACTTCCACTACATTTTGGTGACCCATACCCTAACTTTCCAAACTCTAACACAGTAAACTTGGTGAATTTAGCTGGAAGTGTGAAAAAACTGAAATGAAAACGACTCAAGTTGATTCTGTAACAATTGATCATTTTCCAGGGAACATCCCAACAATATTGATAATAATAATGTTAATGTCAAAATCCACACACTGTGAACATGATGGAAGTGTGTCTCATGGTATAATGAATTTATTTACTTGAAAATTGTGTTCACACCAGTCTTTTCCCACAGAAAATCCCACTTTCTCTTCTCACACAGTCAATTTCAGCAGCCTGATCCTCAGAGTTGGAAGCACCGTGTCCTCAGGGTATAGGAGGGGACATCACTAGCATGTCCCTGGAGTCCTGGTGCCAGATCCTTCTCCATCTTTTTGGGAATCAAATGCGAATATTCTGTATCAATTTGAATAACTTTATACATAAATTATGATTCAGTTTACAAGAATATTACCTCACACACATACACACATAGGTTTTTAATATTTGTTTGTTGTCTTTTCCATAATAATCTCTTATAGTGTTTTACATTTATTTAATGTATTAGTTTTATTTTAATTTCATGTCGGTTTCCTCATTCCTTCATCTTTGTATTGCATTTCCCTATAACTATCACGTATTTTATATACTTGCAATGTAAAGCTCCCGGTGCAGCCAGCAGGGGGAAGAGAAATGGGTCACACTCCTGACCTCCCTGTACAGCCGCAGGTTCCCAAACGCAGAGGTCCCTGCTCTGCACCTTCCCTGGGGACAGCTTTCTTATTGGTGGGTCCTGTGTTTAATTAATGAGAGTTTCTGTTTCAGGGGTGCTGACCCAGGTACAGCTACTGAATCCACTGCAGGAGTGGAAATAAGCTTCCAAAACACAGTATCACCCGAGAGACAACGGAGTTCATCCCTGTAGTGCCATGTGAATTCCAGATTCCTGAGCAGAGCCCCAGAATCATGAAAACTTATCATATGTGTCCCGTGCTGTGGGTATCCTGTGTCCCTGCACGTTCAGCTACATGTGTGGTGCCACTTACACTTAATGAGATGAGATTCCTGCTGCTTCTGTCGGGTCACTGGTGATGTCTGAAGCTACTTCTGGTTTCTGCTTTAATATGTAAAGAGCATGTCAATCATCACCCACATTCTTACAACAATATAAGCCTGGAAAATTGATTGTCAATGATTTCTTATATGAGTTGAAGAAATGAAATTGCAGGAAAACCTGGACCCCAAAGCTAGAAAGACATTACAATAGTGATCACCAGTCTGATGGAACAAACTTTCTGTGGCAATAAGATACCAAATTGTAAACAAGACCTAAGGTCACACCGGGCAAGGATTTAGTCAATCATCCCTACAGTTAAAAAAAATAGAATATGTTGTAACTTCCACAGGGGTTTTTCTGTTTCTGTAACAGTTAAACGAGCACTGGTCCTGAGACAAGCAATATTAAAACATTTGCAGCTCATGGAACTCCAGGCATCGGGTAGCTGTGCCCCTGTTCCACAGCCATAAATAGAGCATTGATTGGACAATTGGATTTCTGTAACTTTCTCTGAGAAGAAACCACTGACCTTGGACTTGTCCTGGCCAGTTCCTTGAGGCTGTGCACTGTGTGTCTTTCTGTCCCTGCACAAAGCCCTTTGGATGTGCAGGGCCCAACTGCAATTCATTTAGTTCTTAAGTCTTCACCCCAACACAAACCTGAAATGCATGTAGCATGTGTGTTTGCTTATTACATATGGAGCCTGCATGCCATGTGAATATCCATAGCTCCTTCTAGAGCCTGCTGAGTGTGTCCACTTGGCCAATCCATTTGTTTGAATTCATGTCTCATCTCTCCCTATCTTGAAGTGCCTGCTCACAGTCTCTGTGGGAGGCTTTGTTTCTCAACCTGTTAAGATGGCTGCCCTGCAGTATCAGCTCTTTACCAGAAATAAAGTCTCCTTTCTAAATTTATAAATTGGGTGATTCTTTGGTTAGCAGCACAAACTGGCGGGAATAGTTCCATGGTAATTTCATAAATATCTGGAGGACAGATGTGAATAGGGTTAGGGTAAGATCTCCTGGGGACCACACACCCCACACTGTTATGGAATTCCCTCCAGAAACGTCTGGGTCCTCAAGATGACAATCCCAATAAGTTGTCTCATGGCTCTGTCATCAGGAGAACTATTCACTGACAAATATGCTCAGATCTTCCTCCAGACAGACTCTACAGAGAAAAAATACTTTTCAAGATCTTTATTCTATGTGAGCGGAAGGGATTAATTTCCGTCCCAGACAGCTTCATCTGAGCCTCCCTGTGTCATGGAAATGGGGTACAATTAATAAAACAACTGGGATAAGACTCAAGAAAATTATGTGTGGATGCTGCATCCAGGAGTGGGAGTACAGGATGGAGGAAAATCTGCTGTACCACTGGAGACTGCTTGTAAATGGTGAAACTTGGAGAAAGAACAGCAAGAAACCATTGGAATTCAATTTCAAGAATATATACTGCTCCCCTGCCCACCACATCACCTCCTCAACAACATGATTAATCTGGATTAGAGAGAGAAGTGTGACAATGCACAGACTCTGTCCAAGGACTAGAACTCAGGGAAACCAAAGGCAGTGGGAGAGAACAAGTCAAGGAGAGTGAAGTGATTTAAAGCCTCTAAGACCAACAGCTTCAGGACCAAGGTCACGACCCTCTCCCTCAGTGGCCTTAGATCTGCATCTCATGGGGCATCTGCAGGGTTCCCAGGTGAGAACTGGCAAAAACAAGGGGAAGACACATTCCCAATCTCTGTGGTACTGAGCTTGTTTTAGCTCTGTTTGAAAAAAAAAAAAAACAATAAAACAAAAACAACAGCAACAACAACAAACATAACAGGACTAGGGTCAGAGTTGGAAGCACTTCTCTTTGGCAAGACACTAGGAAGAAGGGCAAATTTGAGGCTCGTTACTGTGCAAATATGCCACTGTGTGTGTGTGTGTCTGTGTCTGTGTGTGTGTGTGTGGTGGGGGACTTTGAGACATAAGGTCTGTGTGTAAAGTAATAATCTGACGTGATCTTCAACCAGAGAATCATAAAAAAGAGGCTGCCCCAAATTTGTCATCAGTTCCATGACTTCTCATGTGTCTGGACCGTATCAGTGCATCTGGAGCTCCAGGGAAGGGGCTCCCTGGTGGCTTTAGTGATTCCTCGCTTGCTGTGCTGAGGTCTCCCTGTAGATTATGTTGGGTTTTCTAAGGCCTATTTTCTATTCTAAGAGCTGTTGTGAGAAGTAATTGCTGTCGCTGAAGGAGCATTCTGAGCCAGGGCATAGCCACTTCTTACTAGGCTTGAGATGCTGGGGGAATAATTCTGTGTAAGACCAGACAGGAACTTCCATGCAGGGCGGAAGCTGAGCTTCAGTGGGTTTTGGGATGCACCCTGCACAGGATCCAGCCCTCGAGCAGGAATACAGGAGACTGAGGAGGTATTTCCTCTTAGGGACTGGATATTCCTTATTTCAAAGCAATGATGACATAAAAGTTAAATAAATATTTAGCAAGTACTGATGTGTTAAATAAATAAATATTTAGCAAGTACTGATGTGTACATATACAAGCATTCTCTTGTGTATGTAGTCTATACCTAATTCAAAAATTAATGTAAACCACCTTTAAAAGAAGAAATGTCTAGACCCTTCAAATGTATTTATAGTCAGGAATTGAGGGGTTGTTTTATTAACTCAGTGGGTGTTACTGTCGAGAGACACACTCATCCCAGACGTTGGTTGTGCAGAGGGCAAGGCTCAGGAAAAGTTCACCTTGACAGTGAGCCACAGGAACAAGGAATCACATTGAGGACCATGTCCTGTGAGATTCTGGGTTTCTGTAAGACGAGTTCTGTCTTCATGGACATCTGAGCATGTCCGAGAACAAATATCATTAACCAATGATCATGGCATGGAGCTCTGTATCCCGCTGTGGCGTGGTCCACATGTCACCTATCTTCTTCCCCAGGGTGGGGTGGCTTGAGCTATGAAATACCTGCCTCATAATATGCAAATGCACTGGTGTCTGCCGAGGTAAATACAGATCTGTCCTTGTCCAGAGAGCATCACACAACAACCACATCCCTCCCCTACAGAAGCCCCAGAGCACAGCACCTCACCATGGACTGGACCTGGAGGATCCTCCTCTTGGTGGCAGCAGCTACAGGTAAGAGAATCCTCAGTTCCAGGGCTGATGAGGGGACTGGGTCCAGTGAAGTGGTGTCTCATTCACTCCTCTGTCCTCTCCACAGGCGCCCACTCTGAGGTCCAGCTGGTGCAGTCTGGGGCTGAAGTGAAGAAGCCTGGGGCCTCAGTGAAGGTCTCCTGCAAGGTTTCCGGATACACCTTCACCGAATTATCCATGCACTGGGTGCGACAGGCCCCTGGAAAAGGGCTTGAGTGGATGGGAGGTGTTGATCCTGTATATGGTGAAATAATACACGCAGAGAAGTTCCAGGGCAGAGTCACCATGACCGAGGACACGTCTACAGACACAGCCTACATGGAGCTGAGCAGCCTGAGATCTGAGGACACGGCCGTGTATTACTGTGCGAGAGACACAGTGTGAAAACCACATCCTGAGAGTGTCAGAAACCCTGAGGGAGGAGGCAGCTGTGCTGGGGCTGAGAAGTTGATGGCATTTATGAGGTTTAAACATGTTTAGAAAATGGGTTAAGTAATTGAGTAAAACAAGCAATGGAAAGATGTATACACTGTCATTATATAGGAAATAGTATTTTCAACCGTCACCCTATAAGTAACACTCATAGAGTGGGAAAGGCAGCCATCAATCAAGCCGATGCAAACATTCCCATGGAGGCTTTATGGGGACATACATTTTAAAACCGGGTGGGTAAACCATTAGGAACAGGACTGCTTGATCACATGGTCAGACTAAATATAATTTCCAAGAAGTGGCCGAAATTTCTTCCAAAATATCTTTGCCCCTCCTTTTACATTGAACTTATTTTGAAGGAGTTGTAGGATCACAGCAAATTTGAGTAGGAAAAACAGAGTTCTCGTGTACTCCTGCCCCCACGTCGTGCTCGGGCTTCTCTGCTATCAACGCACTGCACCAGAGTCACAAAACAGTCACCGCGATGAACCTCCACAGACACATTGGTGGTTTCCTTTTGTGGTGGTCCCTGGTGTGACAAGCCTCAACTATCTTGAAGCACCCCAGGTTCAGGTGGGTCACTGGGAACGATGCCAGGTAGAGAGAAAGTGGGTGGGGCTGTTCCTCTTCGCACTCTTTCCTCAAGGATCCATAAAATGTACATCGACTTGGTGCCCCCCTTTCTCCTGGTTTTATGTGTCCCTTCCCCAAGGGTAAGGTTTCTGGGTATTTACAGCAGGGGTTCCCAGTCCCCACGCTGTTGACCCATTAAGGTGTGTAGTGTGTTAGGAACCGGGCCACACAGCTGGAGATGAGTGTGGGTGGGCGAACATTGCTGCCGGAGCTCCGCCTTCTGTCGGATCAGCTGTGCATTAGATTCTCCTACGAGCCAAATTCTTTATATATGTGTGTATATATATGGATGTATATACTTTAAGTTCTAGGGTACATGGGCATAACGTACAGGTCTGTTACACAGGTATGCATGTGCTATGTTGGTTTGCTGCACCCATCGAATTCTATTATGAACTGTGCATGAGAAGGATCTAGGCTGAGCGCTCCCTATGAGAATCTAATGCCTGATGATTGCAGGTGGAACAGGTTTATCCCAAAACCACGGGCCGCCGTCATCCATGGAAAAATTCTCTTCCACCAAAGTGTTCCCTGGTGCCAAAAAGGTTGGGGACACTGGTGTAGAGGCAGGTCTGTGCCTCGGAAAGCCAGCAGCTTCTGGTGAATCCCATAATTAATGTCCTTTAATGAGAAGTGGAGACTTGGGTCACGAGGGCCTTCGTGAATAAAGCCCTACAGTTGGATTCAAAACATTATAAGCTCTTGGCGGGTGTTTCTGGATCAAAGTCCTTTGTGCAGAAAATGCAGAAACATCTGTAGGATCCAGGCAGGAAAACAGCTTCCTTTACAAAGTGGTTGGGCACCTGGAAGGAGCTCTCAGGGTTGGGCACTGTATCCTTTGCTGGCTGCACTTTAGCCAGAGGCCTGAGCCTGATCGGTCTTGCAGCGAGAGAGCCTCACAGGGGTCACAGGTTACAAAAGTACCTGTCATCCTCCAGCTGAGCAAGCCCATCGCGCGCTTGTCAGTGTCAACCCCGTGACAGGTGCACCCTGGAAGATTAAAAGATGCACATAAACTTCCTCCCACCAAGTATCCACCGACACACACTCAACTGAAACCCGTGCTCCAGGAAGGGACAGGGGCCTGCAGGGATAAACAGAACGGAAGTATTTTCTTACCTGGGAAAGACACTGCCAAATACCACGTTTCCAGAAGGTTGTCTCATAAGTGTTCAGGGAGTGACTGAAGGACAGTGGTGGGTGAGGTGATGGGACAGCCTCTGGGCTGCACATGAGGAGGGCTCCCTCCCCACGCAGGCTTTTCCTCCAGAAGCTGCACCAGGAACTCAGAGGATCAGGAAGGATTCTGAGAACATTCTTCTGTGGTGCTGCCTAGAGGAGGAAAATAAATTATAAAAAATAAATCAATTCCAAACAAAGTATGACATTTCTTATTAGAAATTATTTCTGAAAGCCGTGAGAATCCTGACAGAAGCACCATTCTCAGAAGCCCTCCTTCCATGGGAACGTCAACGAGGTTGGATCGGTTCTTTGATGGATAGTATCCGTCAAACTCCTCTCCACTCCCTGCGTATCCCCGGGTCTCTCAGTGACAAGTGACTATGGGAGCTGGGTCTGCCAGGCTCCGGGGAGGGGCTGGAGTGGGTCTCAGGTATTAGTAATCCTACTGGTAGTAACAGATGCTACCCAGACTCTGTCAACGGCTGATTCACCATCTCGAGACAGCGCCAAGAACACGCTGTATCTGCAAATGAACAGCCTGAGAGCCAAGGACACGGCCACGTGAGAGACAGTGAGGGGAGTCAGTGTGAGCCCGGACACAAACCTTCCTGCAGGAACGCTCAGGGGAAATCAGCTGCGGGGGGCGCTCGGGATCCACTGATCAGAGTCAACCCCAGAGGCAGGTGCAGATGGGGGCTGATTTCCTGTCAGGATGTGGGACTTCATCTTCTTCTGACAGTTTCTCCAGTGAACCTCTCTAAGTTTATAATTCTGTGCTTCCTAATGTCATCTCTACATAGTTTTAGAAGGTCGTTTCCGTATGAGTACATAATCTCCCATGCACCAAATGCAGACTGAGCTTACAGAGATGAGAAGTTCTCAACCATGGTCACCAGGATCAGAGTCCTGAGGAAGCTCAGTGGTGCCTGGTGAGTTTTCTCCAATCAGAAGCGGGACAGAAACCTCAGGGAGATTCCAGGACTGGAACAGTCTTTAGGCATTCTGATCGCAGCCAATAGAGAGGCTGGGCCAGGGTCAGTGTCATGTGGAAGCTCACAGGGTTCGCGTCTAACCCTTCTCCTGACACTAAATCCAATCAGCATCAGCCCTGACCTGGTGCTCCTTTTGCTCCCACTCCATGTTCTTTCTTTGTAGTCTTTGCTCTTCCTTTTTTATATGCTTTTCCTTCTTCCTGAAAAAGAAATGGTCGCCTTGGTCTATGTTCCAGGGCTCAAGGCATTTTCTTGGAGCTCAGGTGGGGCTCAGGCTGTGGCTCCTGCAGCCACGTGGGAGAGGCTGATGGGACTTCCTTCCCTCCCCATCTGCTCAGGACCCTCCACTGTGTTGTGTGTAGACTAATCCGGGAATGCAATTGGCCATTAATAGTGAAGGGGGTAAACTTATTTGATCCAAATGGGATGTGGATGTTGAATTAACAGTGCACACTGTCAGAGTCATCTGCTTCAGAAGTGTTAGAAAGAGCTTGTGAAATTTATCAGAATCAAGATGGAGCCACTTGTGTTAAAACCCTAGTAAATCTGGCCGGGCGCGGTGGCTCAAGCCTGTAATCCCAGCACTTTGGGAGGCCGAGGGGGGGCGGATCACGAGGTCGGGAGATCGAGACCATCCTGGCGAACACGGTGAAACCCCGTCTCTACTAAAAATACAAAAACTTAGCCGGGCGTGGTGGCGGCGCCTGTGGTCCCAGCTACTGGGGAGGCTGAGGCAGGAAAATGGTGTGAACCCGGGAGGCGGAGCTTACCGTGAGCCGAGATCCCACCACTGCACTCCAGCCTGGGCGACAGAGCGAGACTCCATCCCAAAAAAAAAAAAAAAAAAAAAGCAAAACCAAAAACCCCTAATAAATGAAGCTGGGTAAGGTCACGAAGGAGGGTTCTGTTCCTGATAACAGAACTATGGTAAAGAGACTCTGCACAACCACAGCCTTGCACAAAGGCAACCACAACCTTAAGAGTTACTTCTCCAAGTATATCTGCCCAGCAACTGCTTGTTCAACCTCACACCGATGTCACCCTTGTTACTGATTCTTCTGGCCCAGGATAATCATCTCCAAACGGCTTGTGTAACCCTCCACATTTTTTCCTCATTCTTCATCTTCCATTACCAACCTGAATGCACCCATACAGATTTCCATTGTAATACACGTCCTAGAATAAGTATTATTCTATTTTAGGGTCTCTCTCTGTCCGTTATTTAGGGTTGACACACTACAGATGAACACGCCAATTTTCTGTGAGAATAAAGGTTGAAAATTTTTGGAGATGTCTAGGAATATCCAGTGTCCATAAGATCGTCCATCAGTAAGTGCAGGTTGGAAGTTCCAGAAAGAGGTGAAGCTGCTGAATCACCACAGAATTTCACTTTCTCCAGTTCTGCTCTGATGGAATCAGACCCACCCATTTTTATCAATGACAGTCTACAACCTAGACTCAGCTGATGACAGCTTTTATTTTTATTTTATTTTATGTATTTATTGATTTATTTTGAGACAGAGTCTCACACTGTCGCCCAGGCTGGAGTGCAGTGGCACGATCTCAGCTCACTGCCACTTCTGCCTCCTGGTTTCAAGCAGTTCTTCTACCTTAGCCTCCCGAGCAGCTGGCATTGCAGGCATGTGCTGCTACTCCCAGCTAATTTGTATTTTTAGTAGAGGTGAGGTTTCTCCATGATGATCAGGTTGGTCTCCAACCACTGACCTCAGGTGATCCACCTGCCTGGGCCTCCCAAAGTGCTAGGATTACAGTTGTGAAACACCACGATGGGCCGATGATGGTTTTAATAACATCTATTAAGTAAATTCACCAGTACCACCTATATTAGTGTTGGATTGAATAACTACAAAATCTACCCTAACAATGTATACCGTAAAACTTACAATTACCCATAGAAAAGAACATTTAACATGAGATCTATGTTCCTAATTTTTTCAAGGTGAAATACTGACAACTTTACATTTAGAAAATTATGATTTTGCTAATGAGTTGTAGAAGATGCATGTATATTTGGGATATTACCACTTTCTCAGATGTGCGGCTACCATTATAGTCTCCCATTCTGTAGGTTGGAATTTTTTCCATGCTGTGCAGAATGTTTTTGTTTTGATGGAGTTCCACTTGTTCAGTTCTGCTTTTGTTGTCTGTGCCTATAATGTGAAATATAGGAAATCGTTAAGAATATTATTTTTGGGTGGGGAAATTTTTACAATTTCAGGCTATACATTTAACTATTTTGCCCATTTGGAGTTAATTTTTGTGTTTATTCTAACACAAAATTGTTAATTCTTTGCATGTGTAAGTCCAGTTTTCCCAACACCCTCTCAGGGAGAGACTTTGATTTATTGATTGTGTATTGTTGGTTCTCGTGCTGAAAATCAGTTTGCCATCGATACATCAGGTTATTTCTGAGTTCTCACTGTATATTTATTTATTGCTCTACTTTTGTAATTACTTTTGAAATCTGGAAGT